ACCTAGAAGAGGACTTTCAGTGCCCCCGGGAAGAGGACACAGTGCAAATGCTGGGAAGTCGTGGGTGCACGAACTGCCACTACCGGTTGGTGCGGACCCCCAAGACATTTATTGGAGCTGAGGTACGTGTCAGGGAGGCTACTGCAGAAGGGGGAGATGGGAGTGGATTCAATCTACTGTGCCCAATTTTTTAGATGAATGTTTCTCAAACCCTAATGTACATCAGTCTCCTGGAGGTCTTGCTGAAACATCAATTCAGAAATTGATGTTTCAGCAAGACTTTGGTGGGGCCTGAGAGTTTGCATTTGTAACAAATTGCCAGGTGATGATGACATTGTTGGTCTGGAGACAGCACTTTGAGAACCACTGATTTGGAATAAAGGCGTTGGTATTAGATAGACCTGTGTTAAAGCCTGGTCCCACCTGTCGTTGCCTGTGTTACCTGGGCAAGCCACTTCACCTCTCAGAGCTTCAGGATCTTCCTTTGTAACCTGGAGATATATAGTACCAACCTGTTAGGATTGTGGTGAGAATGAAATGAGATAGTATATGTAAAGTGTTTGAAATAGTTACTGGGTCATTTTAAACTCTGAATAAATGGTTGTTGTGAGTATTCTGAGTATCGTGGTCATTTCCTGCAAGAAGTCCCTGATGACACCTAAAGGAATAAGAGATGGGATTGATAAGTAAGTAGATCACTAATTTCTGATTTGACAAGGAATGGGTTAGTGGACTCTCTCCTGGAGACTTAGGGACTTGAGAAAACAGAGAGTGAATTCTCTACCCCACCTCTTCCCTCTGCAGAAAGTCTGCAGGAAATGCTACCATGGCAACCTTGTATCTATCCACAACCCCTACTCCAACCATCGCATTCAGTGCATGACCAAGGGGCTCAACCAAGCTCAGGTCTGGATTGGAGCCACCTACAAGGGCTGGGTAAGTGAGGGAACAACTCCCAGGTGCAGGAAGCTCTTCCTGATTGCCTCAAGGGAGCACCTCCTGGCATTAAGCCTCATTCCAGCAGCTGTGGTGCCCTTAGTGAGGGAGGGAGTGATGGAGCTGGCTTGCTCTGGCTCAGGGGAACCAGTGACTGTGTGCATATCTTCCCAACTCCATGTTCTGTGACTTCGCACTTATAGTATGAAATCTGCCATGGCAGACATATTTACACCAAGGAAATTGGCAATTGTTACAAATCAGGGGTCCCACACCCTCTGCCTTCTCACTTCCCTGCAGACCTCATTGATAAACATTTACCAGACACCACTAGAGTCAGGAGATAGGTTCCGTGCCCAGCTTGGTCACTTACTAGCTGAATGGTTTCCTCAGAGCTTCAGTTTCCTCATGTCTAAAGTGGGGCCCTTCTTCTCAGAGGGGCTCTGGGACTCTGGGTGAATATATTCCTTTATATTTGCTACTCAAGTGTGGTTCACGGACCAAGCAGTGTTAGCATTGTCTGGTAGTTCATTTAGAAATGCACAATCTTAGGCCCCAGCTGAGACCTCATGAATCAGAATCTGCATTTTAATGAGATCCCCAGATGTGTATGCACAGAAAAGTTTGAGAAGCTACGCTGTGTGATGGCTGGGAGTGATGGAGCCTCTTCCATTTCATTGCCCACAAAGCCTCAGGATGGGTCTTAAGGGCACCTGGCTGCTAGCTGGGTGGGCANGGGGGGGATGATCCCTTGTATCTGAAGGCCATTGGGAATATGAACCCGATGACAGTCAAGACTGCTTTGCATTCTTGTTGGGAAAGGCATTGAAGAACTAATGACTATTGTAATTGTTATTTTGGCTCGGATGAAATTTCCTGGTTGCGGACAGAAATACGAAATTTCCATCTTGTAAGATGATACTAGCTATTGCCCTTGCTTTGTGGAGTGAGAAACCGTAGAAAACTCAGGCACAGGAGAAGGAATGGGGCTCCCTGGGTGTGACTCAGGCGTGTTCCAGACTCAGAGCCAGAGCAAAGAATCCGCTCAGAATCACAGAACGCAACGTTTCAGGAGACCTTGGCCGTCAGCCTAACTGCGGATCACGAATGCTTGGCACGCTCCCTCCCAGATGGGGGCCATGACCTCACAGGCTGGCCCATGGTCCCCGGGGGGCTGGCTGACTGTTGGAAAGTCCTTCCTAATTTTGAGCAGAAACCTGATGTGGGGACGTGGGACTTTTTCTTCCCATACACATTGTTGCTTGAGGTGCAGTTCTTTAGAACCGCCCTCGCTGCCTTGCCCGATGTCCCATGAGGCTGGGGGATTACCTGAAGTTGTAGCCTGGGGAGACACTGCTCTTCTCAGAAACGCTGTCGAGCCTGGTGAAGGAGTATTTGGGGATGCACTGGTCCCAGGCCTTGTCCAAGTCGCACACCCAGCCGATCTTAATGCCCAGAACTCCGCCCTGGAGAAAGGGGGGCAGGTGTGAGCTCTCCCACAGAGCTCCCAGGCCCTGTCCTTGGCCAGGTTGGGGGCTGGGGTGCGACAAACAGACACTTGATTTCTTTGCATTCTTTAGATGGAGGACGAAGGTAGCGAGAAAGAGAAGGGATTTTCCATCGCACGATGCTTAATAAAGAAGCACAGTGGCTCAGGGTGAGAGCCCTAGAGCCTCTGTTTCCCGCTTTTGGTCTCTTCGGTCCCTTACCTACAACACGGAAGAAAGTGGCCACAGAACCACTTTCCCCTTGTGTGGGCCTTTTCCGAGCTCTAAGGTCTCTGTACCTGCAGGTGACGTGTGAAGACCGGAATGGGAAACTGCGCTTGGGGGGAAGGGTGAGGGAGCAAGACCGCTCGGGACAGGGGCAGGTAGACAGGGTTCAGGCACAAAGCCAGCGGCAGCCCCGGATGCTCCCAGCAGGTGGCGCTGCCGCACCGCAGCGCCTCTTCCCCGGCCTCCCCACTGCCCGCCGAGGGGCCCCAAGTCCAGGGAAGGGCTGGGCTCCCCGGGCTCCCTCGGGTTGTGGGAGAGTGGCTAGGTCCTCACCGTCCTGGCCAGCTTGGCAAAATCCTGCCCCGCAAACTTGACCACATCCCCCACCCGCAAGATGGGGCAGAAAGGGGCCTCGTCGGGGTGGAAGCGACAGGTCTTCATGTCGGCAGCAGTCAGATTGGGAAGGAGGTTTCCCCTGGGCGGGAGGAAAGGAGAGAGGCCAGGCCCAGCGTTAACAGGAAGACCGTCGCGCACGAATTTTTCTCCAGCCTTCAGGAACCTCAGGGCCCCTCCTCGCCCAGGCAGGGGATCCCACGCCTGACCTTTTGGACACCCGCCATCTCCCTCACCTCTGTCCCTGCATCTTTCTGGTAACTCCTGTCCCCCTCACCCTGTCTCAGGGTCACAAGTGTTCTTGTCTTGTCCCCCAGGCCCCAAGATGGGGCTCCTTGGGGGCTTGTAGAGAAACCGGCCCCAGAGACCCCCTAATACTCAGTGGTCAGGGCCAGCTGGGAGATTGGGAATAGGAGCCCCAGGGAGATGGGGGAGAAAGTGGGGGAGGACATGGGGTGCACGGGCATCGCCACACTGACATCGAGGTGCCTGGGTGGGGTGGGTGCACTGCCTCTTGGCTTTAGGGAAGGGGCTAGGACTTACTTCTCAAAGTTGAAGAGGGGGAACCGGATGCTGTTCTTGATGAAAATAGTGAAGTTCTCAGCTTCCATCATGACAGGCCTGTGGGTGAGAACAGGAGGAAGAGGAAGGGGAAACAAGGGGTGCTTTCACCCCAGGGGTGACCCATCCTGGTGGACATCTCCCAACAGACATGTGACCATGGCCTCTGACCTTGGGTCTGAGGGTCACAGGGAGAGGAGGGTGGCAGGTGAGGTGAGCTGGGGAACATGCTATCCTGAGGCACTTCTGCACCCCAGATGCACACTACAAGACCCCCTGCAAGCCCAGCAGTGCAGAGCTCCCCACAGTGGCAAAGGAGAGCAGAGGCAGGGGCTCCCTTCCCGTCTGGCTCAGGTCCTCACATTTCCACTGTGTCCACCTCGGTGGGGCACCAGCCCTGGATCTCACAGGTCCGCAGCTCAGAGCTGTAATTCACACAGCGCCCGGTGAGGAGCCCTGTGAGGGTGAGGACACGGTGCTGGGGGCTCGTCTGCCGTTTGCCACTCTTTCCCCCGCCTCACCTGTCCTCACCCGACCTGCCCCCCAAACACACACACACGGACTGCAGATGGAGGGAAAGGACAAGACAGGGCAGGGGAGGGCCATCTGTGGCACAGCAGCCCTGCGGATCTCTCCGGTCCTCTCCCCAGCTCTAGGCTGAGCCAAAACCAGGTGACAGCCCTCCCCACACATGGTCCAAACCCCAGCCACCTGAGGACACCTGTTCTCCTTGTGCCCCAGTCACAGCATGCTCTTCCCTGCCTCTGAGCCTCTGCTGCTGCTGTTCCTTCTTCCTAGAATGCCCCTTTGAAAGCCCCTCCACCCTGCCAACCCCTACTCATCCTTCAGGCCCCTCTCAAATGTCACCAACTCTAGGAAGCCACTTGGGAACAATCACTCTCCCTCCCCTGGCTCCCACAGCACCTCCTGGTCAGCACTCGCCACCGCATGCATGCCTGTTTGTCGCCGGCACCCCTAGCCTGGGAACTCCTCTGGGGGCAGCCCCCGCTGGGCCTGGCACACAGGAGGCGTCTCTAAATGCCAGCGGAATTACACAGAATTCTGTAATTCTTTCGTAGGGTGGGCTCTCTGCCATGGGGGACGTGTTGCCCTCCAGGGTCCCACTCCTGTTTTGGAGTTGTGAGGGGGTGGGGAAGGGCTGCACTCACCGCCACCTGGGAAGCGCTCGGGCCCGCACTGGCTGTCTGACACACAGCGGTACTTCTCCTCACTCTGGGGAGACAGGTGCACAGGTGGTGAAGGACCCCGTGCCGGCCCTGGGTGAGCCCCCCTGGTTCCCACTGCTCCCCGCAGGGGAGAGGTCCGGGACCCAGCGCCAAGGCTGGACCTGGCAGCTCTGCTTATCCCGCTGCTCCGCCCACCTCCAGTGGTTTCTTCCCTGACCCGCTTCATTCAGCCTCCCTCCCTCGCCTCACCTCTGGGCAGAATCCTTGCATCTGGTTTTCAGTAACAATCATCTTGGTGATGATGACAAAGACAGAGGTGCCCTTGGGAGGAGAAGAATAGAGAGAGAAAAATGCAACAGTGCCCCTCCGAGGCGGGGCTGTTGCTATCCCCACTCTACAAATGAGGAAACCTAGGCTCAGCTTAAGAGATTTGGCTAAGGTCAAGTGGCTAAGAAAGGGGTCCAAACCAGGCTCTTCCAACCACCCCTCTAGTCCCCCCTGCTGCCTCTGTGTGTCATCCCTGATCACAGGACAAGTTGTGGCCGGGCCAGAGAGGATGAGCAGTGCTGCGCTCAGGGCAGGCCCAAGCCACCCCACACCTCCCGCCGCCGAGGGAAAGGGGTGCTCTGGATCACTGATGCCACAGATGCTGGCTTGGGAACACCCACAGCGCTCTCCTTGCCTTGTCCCCTCCCCTCCAACCTGCCCAGTGTCTGTGCATCTACACAGTCCTCTGGGGTGGGGGGGACATACCTGGGGTGGGGTCACATAATCAGACACGTCCATGACTCTGTTGGCATAGCGTCCGAAGCCCTTCACCTTGGTTACCACGGAGGACTCAATGGCTGTGTCCCGTACCTGGTACGCCTTCTCATGCAAGAAAACCCACCTGGGCAGGAGAGCAGGGGGACAGAGCAAGAGAGAAGGATGGAGGCCCCTCAGCGGGCCTGGAGGGGGCTCCTTCCTGCCCACACTGGACAGTAGGGGGACCAGGCAGGGGGAGGCTTGTGCCGGAGGCGGAGGACTTGAGAGTGAGCAGGCTTGGCTTGGAGTAGTGTGTCTCCATCTTTGCCCCCACTTCCTGTTTCAGGAGCACTTTTAGACATTTTTTCCCCCCTAACTGTCCCCCCTCCACGAAATTGTAATACTATAGATACCAGTTTATGCACTGTCTGTATATTCGTGCTCTATATGCGAAAAGAGTGAGATATTTTGTATTCCTCAGAAACCAATTTTCACGGCCTGGAGGGCGCTATCACCCCGTTGGGAACGCACCATCATTCCTGGTGATACTGGAGGTCACCTCTCTGGCACCGGAGAGAGAAGGAGCGGAGGACCCTAGGCCTCTGGCCCTGGGCACGCCAGGTTTTGTTTATCCCAAGAGCCAGCACTTTGGAGGTGTTCAATAAACTCGTCGATGAAGGCACCGGGATGGAGGGGCAGAAGCTGAGCCTTTACCTGGCAGGTAGGTGGAGTTGGTTGGGCTGGGAGGGAGGCGGGGCCTCTAGCCTTATTCCTTGGGTTGTGCTGCCACCTAGTGGACATTTGCATGTACTGGCCTCTTCGTGCTGCTTCCAGCCATTACCGGACCACGTGGATCAGGGAAGGACCCTTCCCTTCTTCCATCCCTACCTCTCTTCCCAGACTCTTGCAGCCTTCCCCAGCAGCAAGAAGGGCTTGCAGACAACTCTTCCCACTGCATTTCTCTGAGGTGCCTGCTGTTCCATTTGAAATCACCCATCACAGCCCTCAAGGCTCAAAGCACTCTACAGCCTCAATACCATGCCTCTAGGCAGAGGCGCAGTTCCATTTGTCCCTGACAGCCCACTGGGAGGCAGATGCTGTTACTGTCCCCATTGTACAGATGAGAAAGCCTCATCAAATATGATTGGAAAGTGCTGCGCATTCAATTTCGGAGAAAGACGGATGTTGTCTTGTGGAATCTAGGAGCAGTCCTTTGGAAACACTGGGTTAGGGGGTCATTTTCTGCATTTTCTGGGTGGTACAAGGTTGGAGAACAGCATCAGATAAAGGTTAGTGGAAGGAGCTGGAGATGGTGTAGTGCAAAGAAGACAAAGCTGCCTGGGTGGGGGAGGGGGCGGGGGGCGGCGCGTCCTAGGCTGGCAAGCTGCTGAGAGCATCACTCGGGCTGACCTGAGGGCTTTGTAAGGAGGACTTGAAGCCCAGGACCCTAGAGAGCCGTCCATAAGCGGGATGCTGTGGGAGGTGGTAAGCGCCGCAGGCCTGGGAAGTCTCAGGGAGAAGCCTGATGCGCACCTCCCAGCTGGGAAGAAGCCTCCATCCTGGGGTGGGGTTGGGGGGAGGTTGGACTGGATGGCCTCTGGGGTCCCCGATGTTGGAAAATGCAGAGGGCATCAGCTCCTGGGTTATCCTGGGGGTCACAGTCACTTGAGAGATGGATACCTGCCCGTCATGTTTATGGGGGCACAGGCTGACATCTGCAAGCGGCGACTTGTTCAGTTGTCAGTGAGAGGGTTCAGCACTATCCCCATAACCGGCGCCTCCCTCACCTGCTTGAATCCTGCAGGACGTCTTGAGTGGGGAAGAAAGGGTGGCGTCACAGCCAGTCTGACGGATGGCTCCTAACCTGCCACCTGTTTTATTGCTGCTGCCTTAGAGCAGGCCACATCCTGAGTAATGCCCCATTAAGAGCTACCCAAGTGATTGTAAAATGCTCTTACGAACACCACACACCACGCCCCTGAGGAAGTCCAAGGAACCACGTGCCTCACTTCCTCAGTGCTTCTCTCCTTTGCTTTCTTTCTTTTTTGGAAGGGGAGGGGTTTCATCAAGTCCTGGCACGGAAGCGCGGCCCACACAGAAATCTCGCCTGCCGTCTCATGTGCTGGCAGAAGAGAAGGGAGCAACCCGGTTCCAGGAGCTGTCCAACGGAGCATTAATAAATAGCCCGTGGCCTGGGGCCCTGCAGCATGAAGGAAGGGAGGCCGGAGGCGCAGGCTCTCTGCTCCCAGCTGAGCGTGCTTCTGTCACTGCTGCGTCCACTCGCCCAGGTGGACGGCAGGGCCACACACGCCCTCTGGAACCTCAGTGTGCCTGGCCACAGAATGGACACATCTCTGAGTGTCGGTCTGATGAAATGGTTTCCCGAGGACCCTCCCCCAGTGTTTAAAGTCTGGGAACATTTGCAGATGAGAAGGAGAGTTCAGGTTATTACTGTCGTATAATCAACACAGCACACTAAGTGCTGTATGTGTTAAGGGTTCATCAAATTCTTACCACAACCCAATGAGACAGCTTTGGTCTTATCATTGTTACAAATGAGGAAACTGAGGCACAGAGTGGTGTGCTGACGTGCCAGGCTGGTATGTGGGTTTCAACCCAGCTACCTCACTATAGGGTCTTCAGCTGTGCCCCAGCTTGGGGCCAGGCCCCAGCCTGGCCCCCTGAACTGGATCCTGGTCCTTATCCTGCTGTCCCCTGCCCATCACCACGGAGAGCATCTCCTGGCTTAGGAAAATCTCAGGAGGAAGGGAGGCGGGATTGGAGGAACCATGAGCCAATCTCTTTCCTCCTCATCTTTCTTTCTTCAAGGCTCCTTCTTGTGCCCAGTGGGAAGGAGAGGCCACATCATAATTCTCTCTCTGAGTTAAATAACAAGTAGAAGAATTTCAGTGGCCCCGCGGGGCCCGAGGACATCATCAAGGCAGCTTGAAATAAAGGGAATGAATGCTTCATTTCCAGAACCCAGGGGCCGAGTCTGTCTCTAGAGGCCAGGGCTGAGGCGGTGGGGCAGGACCGAGCCTTCAGTTCTTGGCATTTACTCTGCTTCTCTGACTTATTTTTTTCTTCTGTTCCTGGTTTATTATTTATAGAGCGGAAAGCGGGTGGCAGCTCCTTGGCAGGTGGGATGAGCAGGAAGGAGGCCAGAGCAGCGTCCCAGCACCCTCCTGTCCACCCCCCAGGAGTCGGGGAGGAGGCCAGGGAGTGGGTGTGAGGAGTGTGCGTTGTGTGTGCCGGGGGGAGAGGGGTCTCTTAGGAAGCTGTGAGCTGAGCAGAGGGAAAGGGGGAGGCGTGCTGGGAAGCCTATGAAATAATAATAGTTACCATTTACTACGGAGTCTCCCAACTCAGGCAAGGCACTGACTTGTTATCTCCCCTTGCCATAACTCCCTGGGAGGGGCACTCCTAAACCCATTTTCCAGATACGGCAACTGGGACTGAGAGCCATAAAGTGACCCATCTAAGCCCCACTCCTAGTTGGCGTCAGAGCGAGGCTTCTAACCAGGTTGCCTCCCTGTGGTCTCCCCATCATGGGGCTGTGGTGAGGGGAGAAGGGAGGCAAGAATGAAAGCCACTTATCTCTCTAACCTGTAAGACGGGGTTCCAACAGGTGTCCCCACCATATCCGTCACCTAGGTCCTGACAGGCTGCCTCAGGGTGCTTGCTACCTTGGGCTGAGAGGATGGGATGGGGAGTTCCATGAAGGTGGAATTCCAGGCCTTTCTCTATAAACTACAGCAGCTCCCCCTTTTAACTGCTTTATGTGTCGCGCCTCTCCTTAAAATTTGAAGCGAGGCTGAATATTATGAATCAAAGGGGTTGGCTGTGCAAATGGTGAATTTGTGGATAGGGTTCTGCAGGGGGTGAAACAGGATTGGGGGGCAGGGCTGTGATGGGGTCAGAGGCACCATCAACTGCCACAGGTCCTCCCAATGGATGGATGGCAATGCCCTCTCTGCTACTGTCAGGGAGGCGGCTTCTCCAGGGAGGCACTGGAAACCAACCCCAGGCCGTGTCCTGACCAGCGATTCCGGGGCCCCAGGCCCCAGGGAGCGCCTTCTGCTTCCTCCTCAGGTCCCAGAAAAGAGATTGGCTCTTAGGAAGTCCAACCCAATGGAGAAGGCTGGATTACCGCCTGCCTGGGCTCAGGAAGGGCCATATGAGAAACACAAGGTAAGCCCTGGCCTCTCTGTGCACCTGGGGTGCGTAAAGGAAACCAGTGATGAAGTGGTGTCAACCCGAGACAAGCAGCTGAGGCTAGAGGCAGTAGTGAGAGCGTGTGTGCAGACAGCTAGGTGGTGTGCTGCTGTGAGTACAACAAAGAAACGGTTGGCTCATGTTACACATGGCCTAGGTAGGATTGTGCATCTGGTCTACCAACAGACACCCTATGGAAGAGATTCAAGTATTAGTTAAGCATTAACATCACAGCATTAAAAACCCTTTCAC